CAGAGAACTTGCTGCCACAAGTACAAACTTTTTTTGTTTGTTTCAGGATAAAGCGAATGGCGGGCATGAAGGAGTCTCAGATCAGTGCAGAGATCGAGCTGCTGCCCACCAACGATAAGAAGAAGTGGGCGAGACCTCCGATCTCCATGAACTTTGAGGTGAGAGCATCAACGGTCGTCATCAGCCACCGGCTGTCTTCCTCCTCACCGCTGACTGTCTTTAAACTCTGCTTCCTTTTAATTACTGTGGCTTTATCCACCTCTTCCTCCTCTTCCTCCTCCGTATCTTCATCCTCAGGTCCCGTTTGCTCCTTCGGGTCTGAAGGTTCGCTACCTGAAGGTCTTTGAGCCCAAACTGAACTACAGCGATCACGACGTCATTAAATGGGTTCGGTACATCGGTCGCAGCGGGATCTATGAGACACGCTGTTGACGCCGCCGGGGCTGATGGGAAGGAATGGGGGAGGCCCTGTGACATCATTGTTGTTGCTGTTGTTGTTGTTGTCGCCGTGGTGATCTTCAGACACACATACATTTCCTGTTTATTATCTTCAGTTTACAAACTCGTATTCTGCTCTGTGGCCTCTTTATTATTATTCCTGTTACTGTTGTTATTACTGTTGTTGTTGTTTCTGAGCTTCAACCAGCTGCTGCCGACACATTCCCGCGTTAAGCTCTGAGGGACGCCGATCAGCCAATCACATTCCAGGAAACATCAAGGAGCAGGGTTTAAAAAATGACTTGATGTAGATCTCAGAGCTAAATTCATCTTCTGTGTTTGTGTCGAGGCAGAAACCCGACAGACCTAAAACTTTCAGACCTGGACACTTAAATCCAGACCTGGACACTTTAAACCAGACTTGAACCAGACCTGGGCACTTTAAACCAGACCTGAACTGGACTTGGACACATTAAACCAAATCTGAACTAGACTTGTACCAGATCTTGGCACTTTAAACCAGACTTGAACCAGACCTGGAAACTTACCTGGACACATTAAATCATATCGAAACTAGACCTGGACACTTAACCAGACTTGAACCAGACCTGGAAGCTTTAAACCAGACTTGAACCACGAGACCTGGACACTTTAGACCAGACTTGAACCAGACCTGAAAGCTTTAAACCACATCTGGAAACATTAAACTAGATCTAAACGGGACCTGGACACTTTAGACAAGACTTGAACCAGACCTTGACTTATCAAACCAGATATAAACCAGACCTGGACACTTTAAACCAGATATAAACCAGACCTGGACACTTTAAACCAGACCTGGAAGCTTCAAGCCATATCTGGACTCATTACACCAGAACTAAACCGTATCTGGACAGTTAAAACCGGGCTTGAACCAGACCCAGACTCTTCAAACCAGACGTAAACAGAGTAGGACTTCCTGTCTCGTAGTCAGTCTGTGGTAAACTGCGTTATTACCCAGCATGCATCAGTGTATTATTGTTTTTTTTACAGTTTTGTACCCTGATCAGCTGATTGACATGAATCAGTCTGAGGTGTGTAAACCAGACGGATGTTGTGATCATGGTGGTGGTGATGATGATGATGGTGGTGATGATGGTGGTTCATCTGTTTTCTCAGTAAAACCAGTCAGACTGACTTTGATGTTTCGACTCTCTGTGTACACACCCAACACAGCTTCATACACCGTCATGCCGGCTCACTCTACATCAGCCACGCATCAAATATCAAGAACATTTTGTTATTTCATTGTTTCTGTGGACTTTAAGCTGTAGGTGTGGTGGACCGAGTAATCCAGTGCTAACCAAATGTACAGAAAAGTATACCAGTATGTCCTTCACTGGGAAGCAAATGGATTTCTTCTTTTGGTCCTTCAAGATGTTTCACCTTCACCTGAGAGGTTTCCTCAGTTTTAAGTTCCAGATATTTATTCTTTCAGCCGTATTACATGACTTAATAGCCTACTAATGACTCAAGACTTGCGTGGCTCGATGTGGGAATGGTTGAGAAACTGCCTGAGAGGGATGGTGAATGGTGGTAGGACTACTTGGTAAGAAGCACCATGCTGGTGATGAATCTGTGTGGGGAGGTAACGCTCATGGTGTGAGAACAGAAGGTGTTCGTGGTGGTTAAATGGCCAGAGGATGGATGACTCGAGGAATGAATTATGGGGAAAAAACCGCCTGGAGAGGGATGAGTTAAAGTGTGATTGGAGGTGGTAGCTACCTGGGGAGGGATTACTGAAGGTGTAAATATGATTAAAACTGCTCAGGGAGGTGTGACTGGTGGTGCAGGTGGGGACGGATAACTCAAGTCAGTGTTGGTGAAACTGCCTGGGGAGTGATAATTTAATCTGTTAAGTAAACCTGCTGAGGGAGGGATGACTGGAGGTGTGACTGGTGGAGAAGCTGCCTGCTGGGAGGTGACTAAAGGTGTTGATGCTGGTAAACCTGCTTGTGGAGAAACAGCTTGAGGTGTTACAACTACCTGGTGCTGGATGAACTCATATGTTCATGGTGGTGAAAGTGTTGAGGGATCACAGAACTGTTTTATCAACATCCGATAAGTGGTTTATGTTGTCGACTTCTCCTCTGAGGAATCCTTCTGGAGTCACTTCCTGTCCTGTTTCACTAAATAACTACTATTACTGTTCCTCTGTTTTTGACGGAGATAAAACTGAAGCTTCGTTTAAACCTTTGTGTCTTCGCTGCAGCTCGCTGTGCAGAACAGGACGTCGCAGCTGAATGTTGAAACGTCCAGTTTTCGGTTTCTGCCGGTCGCCATGACGACCCGCGGCCTGTAAAAACAGACGGCGAGTCGTTTCTTTTCAGTAAATGAAGACAAGACGAGGTGGCTGCTGGGGAGGTGTGGGAACCTGCTGGACCAGAGTGTGTTTGTGTTGCTGTGTTCTCGGTGTGTGGATGGACAGATGAATGGGCAGAGGTGTAATTAAATCGTCATCCTTCAGCCCCGGCTGAAAGTCCGTCTCCTCCTCCGTCTCTCTGAGCGACGTGCCGTCAGAAGCCCGACTCTCAGGCCCGGAGGTCGGCTGGATGGAGGCCAGCGGAGGCCCCCGGGGGCCCCACAGACTCATCATGGGACACTGCAGAGCCAGAAGGCTGCACCTGAGGAGGACGTCTGCAGCTGCTGAAAGCTCCAGAGGCCTTTTAGTGAAGGTTCAGTATCATGAACAGGAAAAAGTTCAGACTTCGCTTTCTGTCACTTTACTGATTTAACTCTAAATACATTAGAGGGATAGTTTCCCACCAGCCTAAACTCAGTGACCCAGAACATGTTTTAAAAGTGTTCCGACTCCAAACTGTGACGTTAACAATCCTGTCGATGTGTCCAGAACCTGAACACAGTGAAATTCTGAAGTTTTGTTTGACTTCATGAAGAAACACTAAATGCATTTGACACGCTGACCTTAAGAAATGTAACGTAGGTGTAAGAACATGACTGTTTTCTAGAACAAACGATTAACTAATTGAGAAAATAATCTGCAGATAGTTAAGATTCTGGTTAGTTGTAGCTCTAATTTCATCACCACCAAATATCTCCAATAGAAATGAGGAAGCGTAGAACTTCTGGGTACCACATGAAGCTTGTGAAGAACCAAAGAACCTTATGAAGAACCATTATCTTTCTAAGTGTATGACAGTTTCAGGCCTTAAGGATTATTTTCATGAAACAAACTTTTCTAAATCTAACTTTTAAGGAGTATTAAGGGTGTGATGTAAGAGCGAGTAGGGAGTTTAGGTACTTGTATCAGTCGCATCAAGTCCCCACAGGTCGGTTTTAGTCTGAAGAAAGTTGTTGTATCTGCTGTAAAACAACCCAATGAATGAGTTGCAGACTGTTTGATCTTCAGCTGTCAGGACGTAAACCTTCTGTGTCATCACCTCGTCACTCTTTGACCTTCATCCTCCTCATCATCATCAGCAGAACTCGTCTCTGACTTTCCAACATCCTCTTTCGGTCTCAGGTTTCCATCGATCGACCGTCGCTCTGCCAGCGGGGAGAGAGAGAGAGTCGGCGGCGTGAGGTCACAGCATTGTTGCAGTGCATGATGGGAGTCTGCCAGGCCGCTCGGCTGCCAACATTCAAAGCTCACAATGCGGCTTTAATGAGCTGCTTAACATGCACCATATGATGAGCTCCTCCAAAGATGCCTCTGCAGGCAGTTTGTCAGAGTGAAGGTGACCGCGAGCTGGACGCCGGCGCCGAGTGTGGGCGGACAGATAAACACCACGACAATGAGCACAATATAAACAACAATAACGGGCGGGGGAGGGGCTGTCACTGATGAGGCCGCGAGAAATGATTCATTTATCTTCTGCGGATTAATTTAAGCAATAAAGCGTCCAAAATAAAGCCCCGTCAGCAGCTTTGTGATTCTGTTGTCCCGCCGGAGAAACGGCTGCTAATCAATACTTCATATTAACAGCCAATCAGAGGAGTCTGTGAACGAGGTCGTCAGTCGGGTTTTAGTGCAGAATTGAGTTTAAGATGTTTGTTTCCATCCTGCTGCTGTGTGAAGATAAAGAGGTGATGAAGGAAACAGCGTCGTCATCATCGTCCTGACTGAATGAACTGGACCAAAGCCTGAACCTGCACCTTGTTCCTTCGCTTCAGAGCGTCCATGTTCTTTGTAGCTGTGGTGTCTGTTACTGTAAGATGTGGTGGGTCAAAGGGTTCTAGTCTTTTAAGGTTCTTCTACTCTAAAGTCTTTGTGCTGGATTTGTGTCTTGAACCTGGGTTGGAATATCTTGACAATCTGGTATCGTCTTGTTCTGAAAGTTTAGTTTTCATCATCTGGTGCTTGTCTGATACACGACGGTCCAGACCACTGTGGGGAAGAAGGTGAATTTCGATTGGCTGGTTGATCCAACCTTCACCTATTGTCACTGGCTCTGGCTAGCGAGAGAAAGAACGCGATACAATCCCAAAATGAGCGTCCTTGATAAGGTATCCAGCTTGGAGTAGAGTTGAAAGTAGGTGGTTCAACATCTGATCATCATGCGTCCTGGATGTCTTCCTTTGGAGGTTTACTGGCCTCAGAACTCTGTGGCAGGAGAACATAGTCTATCACAATGATCCGGTATGGTTTGGTGAGCCAGTTTAGTTTTCATCGTTAGCCACTTGTCCACTAGACGGTGGTCCAGACCATCGTGGTAAAGAAGGTACAGTTCCAGACTGACCGGTTGATCTAACCTTCAACCACAATCATGACTTCTGGGTAGTGACTGAAAGAATGAGACGGGAATGAGTTTTGTCTGTAGGGTGGTGTTTTGTGATGCCAAATGTTGCACCGCTTGCCAGAACTGGACACTTGACAGGTGGGGACTCTGCAGTGTCACGATAGATAACTGACTGGAACCTCCCAATATGAACTACACCCTCTTAGAACTGCGTGAACACCGGCTGCACCGGTATGGATGAACGCTTCACTTTCCCAAGTTGGGAATCGAACCAGGGACCTTCTGGCTGTGAGGTGACAGTACTAACCACTGATCCACTGTGCAGCCCCTTATTAAGAAACCTGCTCATGAAAATGTGTTTCTAAAATCATCTGAGGTAAGACACAAGACACACAGTCGCTGAATCTTTGTTTTAGATCAACAACGGTTAGTTTGAAACAAGGTCTGAAGAAGCGCCAAGTGGAAGTTTGATAACCTCGACCTCAACTTTATGCCAAAGAAGAGCGGGCATCGCGACACCTTGTCTCTCGGATCGCATTGCTACCAGAATGCATTGAATGGGAAGCGTTAAAACGACAGATCCATCAGAGATCGGGTGAGGAGCTCTGGGTAGAGTCACAAGGAGTCAACTAAGGTGCTTCAACACAGCTGGAGGGACGTCTGGAGTTATCTGCTGCCACCAAGATGGAGTCCAGGTTAGCTGAAGAAACTTGACGCATGGACGTGGACAGCTTCCTGTTTAGCAGATGATCTGAACTGAGATAGTGTCTTTGTGTCGGGGGTCTTTGCTTTTGACCAAACTACTGAAACTCTGTTTACATTCCGACCTCCAGCTGTAGGTCTCAGCTTTAGGTCGACGCATTAAAAGCTGCTGCAGCGATGAGAGTGTTCCTATTTCAGAAAGTCCAAATCTAGAATTAGTCCTCAGTGGAAGTCGAAGTTCAGGAAGATGAAACGGTAAATAGCCAATCAGCATTAGCCATGACCGACTTTGGTGAAGAGGAAGAAGATGCTAAGATGGTTGGATGGTTGGATGGATGAGCTTCTTGGTTCTCTTTACGGTTGATTTGCTGGATTCCTGGAGTGATGGTTCTCCTGTAAACACTCATTTCTGGCATCATTTTTAAACTCTCCAATGGTGTATTGGAGACGTCACCTAAAAACATCTGGCCTCTTGCAGAATGGACTTCCAGCTTCTGATCACTGTGACCTTGTATCAGGGAGGTAACTGATCTCCAACCAGCTGGAGTAACTCCACAGGTATCTACCGCTTGTTTGCAGAAGAAGAATAAGGAAGTAAAATTGTGAGGTGATGAGTTCTGTGTAGGTTTTCTATATTTCAGATCAAAGGTTCAAACACAAACAGATGGAGGTTCATTCACTCCTTAAGGATACAAAACGGATTTTAGGAAATGTTGAACATCTAAAAACTCAAAATAAACAAAAACCAACTCGAGACCCAGAAGAGAAACCCAAAGTTGTTCCACGATTAGATGTTTTTTTTTTGGCGTCTTTTCAACATTTTTATTTCGTGTTTTCAGTTTTTTGGTTTGTATTTTCAGGGTTTTTTTGGTTCTTCTTTCTTTTCAAGTTTCTTTTTTCTTCTGTGTTATCAGGATTGTCTATTTTAATATTTCTGCTTCATGATGTTTTGGGATGTTTCATTGTTTTCAGGTTATTTCAGGATGATATTTCAGGATTTTTCTGTTTTTAGGGTCTTTTTGTGTGTTTTCAAACTGTTTGAAAGTGTTTACGGATATTTAAATGTGTTTTTCTGGATATTTCTGGATATTTTAGAATATTTGAAGGTGTTGTTCTGGTTGTTTCAGTGCATTTTTCAGGATACTTCACGATGTTTCAAAGTGTTTTCGGATATTTCAGTGTTCACAGGTTGTTTAAAAGTGTTTTGGGGATATTTTAGGATATTTGAATGTGTTTTTCTGGATTTGTCAGGGTGTTTACGGATGTTTCACAGTGTTTGTCAGGATCTTTCAGGATATTTTTCAGGATCTTTCATGATGTTTCAAAGTGTTTTAGGATATGTCAGTGTTTTCAGGTTGTTTAAAGGTGTTGTTCAGGATATTTCTGGATATTTTAGGACGTCTGAAGGTGTGTTTTCAGGGTGTTTGGGGGTTTTTCGGGCTGTTTGGTCAGTTGTCTGCAGCGTCTCTGTTTTCCAGCACAATCTGACAGGAAGCTGATGCTCTGCAGAGGCTGCGGCTGTTTGGACAGATGTTCTGGACAAAACGCTGCACATCTGGACTGCTGCTGCTGGGAAAACACCTCAGGGTGGCCCTACCTGCTCCCCGGACCCGGAGGCCCCCAGGGGCCCCGGATCAGGGTCTGTTCTCCTGGTGGTCCAACGTGGAGAAAGAGCAGAAAACAGAAGTTCGGCCCATTCTAACTTTCCTGTCTGAGTTCTGATCAGTGACAGCGAAGCGCTCTGAGGAGGGAAGGAGTTAAGCTCCTCACTCACCCTCAGTGTAAACGGACACCGCTCACACTCACCTGACCCCGCCCCTCCGGACCAACCCGCCGCCGCAGCGAGCGCACTGTCCGGGAACTTCCCTCAGTTTGTTCCCGACCGGAGCCGCGGATCCACCGGGTCAAGCGGAGCTGCACTGACGGGACGGAGCACCACCGGGACCACCGGGCCGGTTCGGCTCTGATCTGGCTCGGATCTTTTCCTGTGTTTTATCCGGACGCGGCGGGTTTTCAGGTCCAGAAGGTTCGGAGGAGATCAGAAGCAGCTGCGTGACTCTGGATCCTCCAGCGGGATGAAACAGAGGAACCGGACCAGTGATTGATTGATTGGTTGATTGATTGATTGGCAGCGGGTCATGGTTCGGTTCTGATCTCATCATGGACCTCCAGCTGCTGCTGCTGCTGCTGCTGATGATGATGATGGTGATGAAGAGGAGCGGAGCCGCTGAGAGGCCGCAGGTCAGTGAACCGAACCTCTGAGAACAGAACCCGCCTCATTAAACACGAACACAGACCGAACTGGTTCCGTCACAACTTTGGTTTCATCTGAGGCACATTTTCTGTTCAGCAAAGTGAAGCTTTGAGTTTCAGTGAGAACAAAGAAAGTTGATGAAATCAGAAATATTAACAAACAGAGAATAAAAAAAAGAAAAAAGAAAAACTATAATTCTAGAAAAGTATTTGAAATAAATTTTTAAAAAAGTAAAGTATTAATAAAAATCCTCAATAATATCAGATGTAAGAAAAATATCACCTAATATAAAATAAGCTTTGATTAAAAATATATATAATTATAAATATTACAACAAAAATGAAGCACTTCCAAGAATATTTCAAAAATGTTACTAAACATGAAACCAAACATTATTTTAATTAATTAAAAATAATTAATTAAATTAAAACTAATTAATTAAAACAAAAATGTCTGAAAAAATATTAAGCATTAAAAAAAAATATTTTTAAAAATGCCCAAAAAAGGTCTGACCGGAGAAAAAAAGTAAATATTTTTACTAAATGGAGAAAAATATTAAGACATTAAACCAAAAAAAAAAAAAAAATTCCTCAAAAAGTGTTAATAAAAATCCTTAAAAACATGTTTAGAACAATACTGCTCAGTATCAGTTCAACTGCAGGTAAAATAAGATTTTTTAAAAAATGCAATAAATATTAAAACTATTTTAATAAAATCTTCCAAAAATGTTTCTGAACATAAAACTACATATTATTTTAAAATGCTATTAAGAATAATATGTACAAATATTAAAATATGAAATAAAATGTCACAAACTCTAAAAAGTATCAAACAAAATAAAACGTTTTTTTTTTTTTTTATGTCACAAACTTGTCTAATTATCTAAAAATGTAAAAAAAAAAAATATTGGTCAATGGAGAATAAAATGCTTTGGGGAAAAAGTAAAAAAAATCCTAAATATTATTATTATTTTATTAACGTAAAATATTGCAAAGTAATAATAAAAAAATCTTTAAAATATGAGAATTGTTTTAGAAAATGACTTAAATGAGGTCAGACTGAGACACAAACAGCAGATTAATGAGATTAAACAGCCGAAGAGGAGAAAACAGTAAATGAATCACTTTTAATCAGCAGATAGTCAAATACAACCAATAATGAAGCAGGAAAACGTCACTCAGATTACCTGAAAAGTGTCATTTTTTAAAGCAAAATCTAAAATCTTTGTGTTTCTGAGCTCAGATGTGATGATCGGATGATGATCTGAGTGTGTTTGATGTATTTGGGACGTCTTCAGAGTTCAGCTGCGTCTTATTGCAGCTCAGATATGAAACAATAAAGAGTGTGTCGGCTGTAACGCTGATGGATGGCAGCAGCTGTGGTCCAATAAAAACACAAAGCTGCACTAATGTGATGAACAGTCTTGACTATATCTCGTGTTGTTGCGATACTTCGGGCCCCTCGGCTCCGTCCTGGGCCCCTGCAGCAGACTTGAGCTGCCATGTTTGCAGCTGTGTTGTGTGTCTGAATGAGCAGGAACGTCTGGATTATTGTCGTCTTCGCCGTCCGGCTGCAGACTGATTACCCATCAGCCCCTGCTGCAGGCTCTCCGGAGAATATTGGATCATTTTTCAGTCATTTAGATTGAAGCCACGTGAGCAGAAAACTGTCTGAACGCTTCAACTGAGACTTTTAGAGTTTTTTTATTGTGTACGTCTGAAAGTATCTGCAGCTGTTAAAGTAGGAGAATCTGCAGATTGAGCTTCTTTGAAGCCTTTTGTGTCTCTTTGTTGTTGTTTTTTTTTATTCATTTTGTGTCTCTTTACAATCACGTTCATCTTTTTGTGGTCATTTTGCATCTTATAGTCGTCTTTTTGTGTGTCTTTGTCATTAGTTTGTGTCTCTTTGTGCTTATTTTGAGGCCTTTCGTGTCTTTTTGTTGTTGCTTCCAGCTTCTCGTGGTTGTTTTGAATCTTGCAGTTGTCATTTTGTGCATCTTTAGTGTGTATTTTTTATTGGTTTGCCTCTTTGTGGTTGTAGTAGATCTTGTTTTGTAGCTGTTTTGTTCTCTTTCTGGTTGTTTTGAGTCTTTGCAGTTGCTTTCCCACATTTTGAATCTCCAGAGTTGTGTTGTGACACATTTTGCATCTTATAGTCGTCGTTTTGTGTCTCGTTTTCATCACTTTGTGTCGCTTTGTGGTCGTTTTGAGTCTCTTTGCAGCCGCTTTTTAACACTTTGTGTCTTTGGACATGTGTTGTGATATTTTGTGGTCATTTTGCGTCTCATCGTTGTGTTTTTTTGTCTCTTTGCGGTGGCTTTATCACACTTTTTTTCACGGCCAGTCTCCTTGTGGTTGTGCATCTTTTGTTTTTCTTCTTTGTTTTGAGTCTTTGCATCTTGTAGAGGTCCGCTGTGGTTGTGTTGTGTCTCTTTGTTGTTGTTTTTTAACTCATTTTGTGTCTTTTTTTCATTATTTTGTGTCGCTTTGTGGTCGTTTTGAGTCTCTTTGCAGCCGCTTTTCAACACTTTGTGTCTTTGGACATGTGTTGTGATATTTTCTGGTAATTTTGCATCTTCTATTTGTTGTGTTGTGTCTTTTTGTGTTCATCCTTCAGCGTCTGCCTGCTTTTCACTGGTTTGTTTCTCTTTGGGGCGGCTTCACTGACTTTAAACGTTAACCGTCACTTTGAGCAAATCATCAGAAATCCTTCCAGACAAACGAGCAACAAACCGGCTGATGCATTTAAAAACTTCAGCAGGAGGTTGTGTATTATTTCCTTTTCTTATCATTTAATTGAAAAAGAAATCCTAAAACCGTCCATGTTTAACTGTGACTCCACTTCTGTCACTTCTTTACAATAAATCGTCATTAAATTCATTGTATGTCTCTGCTGCAGCCGATTTCATTTAAATTCCTCTTGTTAAAGCTGAAATAAGTCTTGGACACTTTTATTATTTAGAAATCAACAGCAGCTTTTATGAACGTCTGGTTTCACATATTGGGAACTTTTAAGCCGCTAATAAGTCCGACAGCTGTGAGTACAGATGTGAGTTCGGGTGTTTACAGCGTAACAGGCAGCAGGGGGCGCTGCTGCTGCACCGAGGGGTTAATAGCTGTTATCAGAGAAGGTTGTAATAATCCAATCTGCTGGACTTTGAGCGTCGGGTCGAAGGTTTGCGAGTCTGCGGCTGAAACGTGTTGCGGTCGGCGGTCGGACGTGGAGGAACCGAGGAGGTTCACCACCGAGTTCACATGTGGGTGACAGATATGTGAGGAGGGGGGAGGAACCAGAGGACATGAAAGAGCAGCGAGAGAAAGAACGAAGGGTTTCACATCTGTATGGAATCAGCCTCGCCGCCACATCTGTCCACAAATCCACCCGAGACTCTCCTCGTGAGAAGAAACGTCTCCGCTGTGCTGGAGCTGCAGATTCAAACAAAAAGACAGAGAAGATGGACGTGGAGTCTGAACGTGAAGCCTCAAAGCTGCCGCCAGCAGGGGGCGACACCTCTGGCTGGAAAAACAAGTCAGACTCTATGAGAAAGTCGTCTGGCATTACTGGACTGTTCTCTAGTGTTGACTGTGTAGAACAGTCTGACTGAACTTTATTATTAATATTCTGCTGTCGGGATAAAAACACTCGATAGGCTCACAGGGCAGAGCGGTGGTAAGGTGCAGTCAGACCGTTCTCCTCAGCTGCACCTCGTTATCATCCTCCAGTACGACTGAAACACTCAACAGCTGACCAATGGCCTCCAGAACAGAATTTGTCATTCTACCATTGTGAGGAAAACACTCAGCCGTACACAGTAGATGACACAACGCTGTGTAGACTGATCTGACTGCACCTCGTTATCATTCTGCTGTTTGTTTAGGGCGGAGCTAAGAACAAGCTGCAGCCATGGTGTGTAGCCATTCTCGTGGACTAATCGTAGCAGCTGGACTTGCTTGAGTTCCTTGAAGACGTTCCATCTCTCATCCAAGAAGCTTCATCAGGTCTGACTGACTAGTTGGGAGTTCCAGATATCCTGAAGGAGCCATTTTTCAGCTCAAGCAAGTCCAGTTGCTACGATCAAGCCACGAGAATAACCGTGACCTGGATGGCTGAGAATCTTCACAGACATGGTGTGAAGTCAAAACATTGATGGGGGTATTAGTTTGGTGGAATGTGGCCAACGGAGGGCTGATAACAGCAATCTACATCCGACGAGTCAGACTTGATGTTATTGAAGTAAACATTTGCCGAATAAGTTTATGATCTCAGTCAGAGCTGTGTAGACGAAACACTCGACACGTCACCAAATGTTCTAAAATAAGGTGCAGTCAGACCTTTCTACCCAGTGTGTTATAGAATGATCTGACTGCACCTCGTTATCATTCATCATCTTTGTAGTTTCCTCAAGTTCGGAGTCAGATCCATCTCTTACTCAAAATGTTTGGTTGCAAGATGATTTTTTGCAGAATTCCAAATCTGAGGCTTCAAAAGAGGAGCCCACAAACCACTCATGGTTTCATCTTTTATATACAGTCTGTCATCTTAAGCTGCGTAAACTCTGACAGAAGTTGTTGTTTCCCCCATTCGCATCAATGCAGCGAGAGCTAATGACAGCAGCAGCCCCTGGTGGACATCAGAGGAACTGCAGCTCTGAGGCAGATGATTGGTTCACCGTCCCACATGTCTGGTGTTTTTCAGACGTCTGGCAGCAGCAGAGAGACGTTCGCTCGCGGAGGAATTAGACACAAACGCTACGCCATCAACCCTCTGGGACACAAGTGGATGCATCACAACATCACGTACAGGTAGGAGGACAACATCAGGTCATGTGACCAGAGAGAAAAAGTGCAAAAACCTTGTAATTCGGTCGCTTGTCTGCCAGAAATGATAAAAAGTTTTTATATAAAGCGCCACCAGACACCAGAGTTCTGTCATTTTGAAGTTTATTTTTGCACAAAGACCTCGAGAACCTCCAACAGCTTTGGAAAAGTCTTGGTTCCTCTTTCCATCTCTGCAGCTGAAGGTTCTCCAGGAGAGTTTGTGAGATCTTCTGGATTCACAAGCTGCAAATTGTGTGTTTTCCAGGACAGATTCACAGGTTGAGGCGGTTGAGGGCGCACATGAGATTCAACATAAGTCTGAAATTCCTGAGGATGCTAACTGGATCTATTTTGTCATCTTCATGCTCTGGTTCTGCTTTCAAATTAGCAAAAAAAACACCAACTCTGTCATCTGCATCCAAACCCTTTAATATCACAGAAAATGCTGCTCTGAACTAAATCTGTTACCAGCTGCAGCGCCATCATGTGTTTCTTTTATTTCTTTTAAACCAGCATGTTGAATTGAATTGAATGTCAGTGACCGGGTCAAGGAAGCTTCACGTTTGAGTTACTAATCAAGAGACATAAATCAGAGTCTCATCTGCATATGAACTGACATTTACCTTAATTCGTGTGGGATGTCCCCATATAGAACGCATGTACAGTTTATTAAAAAAGAAAGAAAAAAAACAGAGGTCCTAATACAAAGCCTTGTGGTACACCACCATGTAACACATAATGACCCAGAGAAGAGCGATACACCTGTAACCATCATGTTACTGTCACAATACATGAAATAGACAAACTTCTATGTCTTTGTGTCTGAGTTTGAGCATTGGAATAGGAAGAGAACATTGCCCCCAATAGGCCACATTGGGAATTACAACGCTGTCCTGCAAAATATTATTTCTGCAGACTGCGTAACTTTAGTTACTACAAGGTCTTTCTTGAATCTGCAGATAAAAACATCAGAGAAACATTCTGACTGGTCCAACCAACAGCTGAAGCCCAAAAAAGTTGATTTAATATCATGTAAGACTCACAAACTCTCACACAGTATTGCCTGAATGAGAATAGCTGCTGACTGATTGTCTTTCAGTCGAAAAATCAATGTCAGCTCCGTCCCTACAGCTGATTACTTCTGCAACACAACATGAATTCAATACTAAAACATTTTATTTCAAATAATTAAAAGGTTGGATCTGCAACATGACGCGTCTGAACACAGTGTTTTTATATTTGCCTCTTGTGCTGAACACCTGCTGAGGACTCTGTTCAGCCGGTTTCATCTCTTTATGTTTTAATGTAAATTCAGCTTCACTGCTCAGATTATGCTGCTGAATTCTACTGATTGAGCTCAATTGTGCCCATTGAATGTTCTCTGATTGGCCGGTCCGCCTTTAACACAGTTTCTTTACCCTGATTCACGTCTTCCAGGCTGATCCTCCTCCCCGAGTGAGCAGCACAAATCTTCAAGCTTTACCAATCAGACACCTGACATCTGACTGTAGAGGGGGCGGAGCCTCACGCAGCCTTGCAGGCTTCACTCGGGGCAACAAAACCCTTCAATCAGAGTCCATTTACCAATGTCTGTTTATCTTTATCCATCTCAGGATCACCAAGTTCCCCAACACTCTGAACGTGGAGGACACCAGGAAGGCCATCAGCATCGCCTTCACCAAGTGGAGCGACGTGTCGCCGCTGACCTTCGCCGAGGTTATGGATGCCAACGCCACGGCCGACATCACCATCGGTACCAAAGAAATATAAAAAAAAAAACAAGAAAGTCAAAATGGACATTTGAAAACCTTGATAATGAACTTTTGGAAAGGAGAAAATTGCCCATTTTCAACCCTGTCTATTATTTTAAACATGCACGTAAAGGATCTTTATCTTTTCCTAAAATATGCACAAATTTAACTTTGTCTCATTCGACCAAAAATACGTCCCTATATACGTTTATTAAAAGTGGGCACTAAGATTTTATGATTTCTTGTCCACTTTGGGCTTTTTTAAAAACCTTTCCGTTTGGACTGCTTGACTAAAAACATTCCAGAGTTGTTTCTTTTATGTTGAAATGAATGTTAGTGAGTGTGATGTCCTGGTGCGTTAGGTTTCTACACCTTCAACCACACCGACTGCTGGTGGTCTCCTCTCCACCCGTGCTTCGACGGGCTGAACGGCGAGCTGGCTCACGCCTTCCTGCCGCCGCGAGGGGAAATCCACTTCGACAACCACGAGTTCTGGATCCTCGGCAAGTCCAGGTTCAGCTGGAAGCAAGGTAACTGTAGCAGGAGCACTGCAACCTGAAGTCATGGTGTCAGGATGTCCGACCTCCTGTGGGTTGACTCGGTGGGTTTGCTTCTGCAGGGGTCTGGCTGAACGACCTGGTCCAGGTGGCAGCTCATGAGATCGGTCACGCTCTGGGTCTGTGGCACTCCAGAGACCCTCAGGCTCTGATGCATCCCAACGCCACCTACACTGGACAGAGGAACATCGCCCAGGACGACGTCTGGGGCATCCAGAGGCTCTACGGTAACAGCTTTCAATCCAGTCCAGTTTTATTTAGAGAATTCACAGCTTCAGTCATTTCAGGGCACCTGACCAAGTGACATGAAGAATGCAGTACTTCAGTCTGAGGGGGAATGCAGTACTTGTACCTCTGAATGTGAAGCAATACCTACAGTGTTGACCAAAAAATACACACTTGTCATGCACATTATGGCAGTCTTAAGTTCCCAGTGATGGATCCTCCAATAACTTTTAATTTTCGATGATGGAATAATTGAAACACGTATCTTTGTCTCAAAAAAGTAGGTCTGTGTTTTGGTTTTAATGACAACATCGACTGGGTCAAAAATATACACACAGCAACTTAAGTTATCTGTTTTGGTGATTGGCGAAAGTTGCGTTCATCAGATTTTCTTCATGGCGTGACCTCTTAACCTCCCATGATTGCAGTCGACGACAGCTACTGACTCCTCTGAGTTAATTTCAAAACGACTCATTTAATTCACTCGTCAGACTCAGCTACAAACACTCCAGTGGGAAAGTCTGAGGAGCTCAGCAAAGCTCTGGAAAAGCAAATCACTGACTTGAACAAGTCAGAAAGTCACTTGGAGCCATTTCAAAAATGCTTCAGATCCCAGAATCAACTGTGCCAGCAATTGTATGTAAATATAAAGTGAATAGTGAAGTGGAAAAGGAACACAAGGAGTTACAAGAAACATTGGAAACTCAAGACCACCATGATATACATGGTCCTTACAAGTGGATGTGAACTTCTGTTCACAAGTGTATACGTCAGTCTGAGGCTGAATGCGGTACTTGTACTTCAGGCTGCTGCTTCTCTGCAGGTTGTTTGGATAAGAAGAGGGTCTGTGATCCGTGGGCTCGACTCGGTTTCTGTGAGCGGAGAAGGACCTTCATGAAGAAGAACTGTCCTCAGCGCTGCGACCTCTGCTATGGTGAGACCTGACCTCTGACCCCTGACATCTGATCTCTTGCCCCTGAGACTTGTCCACCATCAGGACGTCGACTCCTGGTGGAAGCTGTTGAGTCTTCAACCTCTAACAGAAACTTGACTCCATCTCATGTAATGTCTGCATCTGTTTCCCACCACAGAGCCCATGGATCCCGTGGCCACACCGACGTCACCTCCGGCCAACGTGAAGATCAAGATGGTTCCCCGGGGGAAGGTTGTGGGTTTCCGCTGTGGAACCAAAAACCCTCGCTCACCTCCGAAAGTCAGGTCAGCCAATCAATACTCACTATTCATTATTTAAAGGTTCTGTCTGAAGCTGGTCACTGCAGTGACGATTCCAGCAGCATTTATCTCTTCTACAGTCTCACCAGTAAACGTGAAGTTTTGTTGGTTACTTGTTGACTTAAATTCAACCTACTGGGTGTTTAAGACCAAACATGTAAGGCAGCATCCATCCTCTCATCTTCTGATCAGCTGGTACAAAGACGGCGAGCAGATCCTCACCTCCATCCCCGGCTACATCGTCATGAAGGACCGAGACCTCCGCATCGTCGCCAACGAGTTCAACGAGGGTGTTTACACCTGTCGGATTCATCGCCGTGGCGACATCGTGTCCGCCAACTCCTGGGCGATCCGGCTGAAACCAGAATCACCGTCCAACAGCTGAGGACGTCTGCAGGGAGACGGACAAACAGCCAATGAGGTGATGACAGGAAGGTTTGTGGAACAGTCAGATCTGTGGATTAGCAGGAGGTCACATGGTTCAGGCGGCGCCAGCAACACGTTTGGACCTTTTTCCAGGTTTTGTGATGTTCGTTCACAGACTTGTGAAACAGCTTCATTACAGAGCAGACTGTGGTAGCTCTGTGGTCCCAGCAGGGCGTCACATCACAAACTTATAATCCTGTAAAATATCGTTTATTGTTTCCTTTTTGTTCCACCTGAGCTGTTGCTGTGTCCTGGTGGTTCAAGTTTACACCTCTAACTCCTGTTACTGTGGCCAAAAAAACCTACATACATCAAATCTATAAACATGTGTTTACGCTCTACAGATGCAGACCTACACACTTTTGATGTTGTAGCCTGCACAAACAACAATTGTTATGACAGCCATGACCACTAAATTTAGCTGGCTACCTTTGGTTTGCTTTAGCTGGCTAACTTTGGCTCGCTAACTTTACCTGGCTAACTTTAAGAACTGACGCTTGCTGACTTTTGTTCATCAACTTTAGCTCTAACTAACATTAGCTGGGTAACTTTAATAACTGACGCTTGCTGACTTTTGTTCATCAACTTTAGCTTTCCAACACTAACTAACACTAGCTGGGTAACTTGGGCGTACTGGACGTAGTTTGCTAACGCTAGCTGACTAACTTTGTTTAGCTAACTTTTACAGGCTAGCTTGAACTGGCCAACTTCAGTTGCCTATCTTTAGCTGGCTAAATGTAGTGGGCTAATATTAGCTCACTAACTTTAGCTGGCAAAGTTTAGGTATCTAACTTTGGCTCGCTCACTTTAACTGGCTAACTTTAGCTTGCTAACTTTAACTGGTTAACTGTAGCCCGCTTACTTTAATTACAGTAGATTAATTACCAGAGAGAGTAATGTCACTCCTCCTGTCCCCTTTGACCTTCACCTGTTTTGATTCCCAGCAACATTTAGCTTTGACTAATGTCCACTGTAGTGAGGAGCCCATTGTTGAGTAGTGGCCATAAGTGGTACTGCAGATCATGTGATGTAAATTATTATTCCTATAGGACACAACAGAAATGAGTACACCCCTGTGAAAATGGTTCTTAATTGTATCACCTTGCAGTAATCAGATTACTTCTAAGTTGAATAGTAGCCTGTATATTTGGTTTATCCACAGACATTCATGGTGCATCTATAAATGTCGTCTCCCCAGCAGCTTTGCTCTCATGCAGCCCCGTATCATGATGCTGCCACCTCCGTGCTTCACTGTCAGGACATCACTGTGGTGGTCCTGGTCAAGTTCACACCAAACACGGTGAACTTCATCTGAGCTGAACACATTTATCTCAGTCTCATCTGACCAAAGATTGTACTCCGTTCATGTTCCTTAGCAAAGTTTTGTACCTGCAGTTTTGTACCGAAGAGCAAGTGAGTTTTTTTTTCTTGTCCTCTGAGAAACTGAGAAACTTCTTTTGTTCACAGCCGATATTTTAACAACGTTCATGCAGTTAGACTGATTGGAAATCACAGGTGGACTCGGTTTAGGTTCTGTTTTTACTTTTGGACCTACATTTTCAATATACTTTCCTAAATTATTAGTTTTCAGTTTGAAAGATAAATAACTTTACCGTTCAACTTAGTGATAACGCAGTTACTGAGAGGTGCTGCAGTTAAAGTCATTTGACGTAGAAGGTATTTATCAATGTGCTGTTTGTTGTATTTCCCTCTTCTTGAGTTAACCTGATGGGTTTTTTTTAGACACATTTAGATTTTTCTCTGTCTTTCTTTCTTTTTTCTTGGGTGTAGCTTAAAAAGGATGTGTGGTTTTCTCTGATGAAAACAATAATCTGTGGATCAGTATTTTGATGCTCTTCATGTTTCGAGGATCCGGCAGACAAACTCCATGAACCTCAAACCACAGGAGCTTGTGTGAGCGGTTTTCGGGTCTCCTGTTACATTTGAGCCAATAACAGATTGAGAACAGATCTCGGTGCCGGACATCTGAACACAACGAGATTTCAGCTTCATCTTCTTGTGACACGAGTCAGTCTCTTCTTGTTTACCGCCGTGTATCCGTTGAACACATGTTTTGACTTCACTGTGACAGAACATAGCAGAGGTATACATGGTTAGTTCAACAGGATTTCAGAAAAATCTGCAAAAGAAAATGTGAATCGATGCTTTTCCATCCATTGGAGTTAGTAAGAGGGCAAAACTTTTGGTTTAGGAAGACATGACTGTGGAGATTCTCAGTCATCCACGTCACAATAATCCCAAGTGCTTCAGAGGAAGACAAATGGACTTATTGGTTTTTGAAAACTTTTAATTTCACCTTGATGGAAAATGGTTCTCCAGTTCTAACTGGTGGGTTTGGAGTCATCCCTCCCCTGACAGTTTCACCATAACGCACACCTTGAGTCATCCCTCCTTTGCACTTCCACCACCTTTATCACCTTAAATGTTCAACTGGAACATCCATCTCTAAACAGAGGAGGGGGTCTATGACACCACTTACCAGGTACTTATTATAATGCCGTCCTCTGTAAGATCTCTCCCTACGAAGTTTCCCGATAACTTACACCTTTAGTCATCCCTGCCCACGCAGTTTCACCACCATTCTTGCCTTAAATCATCCCTACCTAAGCAGTTTCCCACCTTTAAAACCTCGAGTCATCCCTCCTCAGGTAGTTTCACCACCATTTGCTCCTCAAGGCCATATCAGTCTTGTGCATATTAGGTGGGAATAGACATCTCTGGACAGAGGAGGGAGTCTACTTATAACACAGTCCTGAGATCCCTCTCAAGCACTTTCCCCATAACTACCACCTTGATTCTTCCTTCCCATTGCAGTTTTACCACCATTCCCACCTTGAATCATCATTCCTAAGGCAGGTTTCCACCACGGACACTTTGATTGATCCATCTAGAGACAGCTTCACCACCATTCACACCTCAGGTTCACCACCAGTAACCTACTGAGTCACCTCTCACAGGGCAGTTTTACCACATTGAACCATTCCTCTCAAGGTAGTTTCAATATTACTGACACTTGGAGTCAATCCTTTTCACGTAGTTTCACCACCATTGACACCTTGAGTCACCTCCCCCAGGGAAGTTTTACCACCAGTACAACTCTGAGTCATCCCTTACCAGACAGTTTTACTGCTAGTAAGATCTTGGCACATCCATCCCCAGGCAGTTTCAACATTACTAACACCTTGAGCCATTCATCCCAAGGTAGTTTCAGTATTACTGGCAATTGGAGTCAATCCTTTCCAAGTAGGTTCACCACCATTGACACCATGAGTCATCCCTTCCTAGGCAGTTTAAAAACAGTAACATACTGAGTGATCCTTCCCAGGGCAGTTTTACCACAAGTAAAACCTTGAGCCATCCCTCCCCTGGTAGTTTTACCTTTGTTCACACCTTAAGCCATGTGAGTCATTAACAAGCAGTGAGTCTTGTGGTTTCTAGGATGATGGTGAAACGTCTTCAAAAACCAAAAAGAAGTCCGGACGTCTCCTCCTGAAGCACTCATGGTTTGGGAAGAAACAACAGCTGCTCTGAAACTTAGCGGAGAAGCTGCTAATAAGTAGAGAGCTGCGTGTTTATGATACAGGCTTGAGTTTGGCTTAACGAGACTCTTGTTTACATGGAAACAGACCGAAGACGCCGGCGTCCACACGGCAGGAGACTCGAGCTCCGACCGTGAAGAAGAAAACGTGGTGAAATCTGACTTTTATTGTTTTCATGTGTAAACATTTAGTTTGTTTCTCTTCATCTGCTTCCGTCTTTTTGTTTCATGGCAAATAAAAACCTGATTCCTGTCGTCTGATTCAACCTGGTTTCATTTGTTTCCTCTAAAAATATCTGGTTAGAGCCAGAATTAACATCGCTAAAGCTGATATTTGGATATGAGTGTAAAAGCTGCTTTTGGACTAAACCTGCAGCTGAAGCGTGGAAACAACCTTAAACTGGAATATGTGAGGGGAAGCTTGTTGTTGTTGGTTTCCAGACGTGATCCAGAAAACCGCTGATGTCTGTGAAGGAAACAAAAGGCGGCGAACAAAGAGCGTCTGGTTTTAACCCTGTGTGACCCACATCTGCTGTTTCTGTCTGGCTGATGTGGGTCAAAGCGTCCACACGTCAACATCACGCCTCCCTGGAAAAACACATGCAAACAGGCCACGGCTGCAGAAAGCCCCACATCTCTGCCCCTGAGATGTTTTCTTTACAGTTAAGGAACAACCGGCCTTTTTATTTACCGCAAAAAATATGTTCTGTTGTTGAAGCTCTTTCATGAGAGAGAGTCTGTCTGTGTTCTTGTTTTCTTGTTTTTTTATAGAACACGTGACACTCAGAGACAGACGTCGACACGAAACACCAATAAATACGTCAATAAGTGCTTCATTATGTTTTGTTCTGGAGTTCTTAAAAAATTGTACTCGTTGTTTTGGTTGAATAAACCAGATTATTGTGTGCACTGTGTGGACAGACTGGAAAAAAATAATTTAAATTTGAATCCATTTTAACTTGTGAAAACACAAGTTTACTTACATATAAAAAGACATATAACCTTTTTTTCTCACTATCTGACATTTAATCAGACTAAACTTTTCCTGTTTCAGGTCAGTTAGGATGACCAAAATTATTTATATTTGCTAAACGGCAGAATAATAAAAGAGAGAATTTTTTAGAGAATTTTTTAAAAATTATTTGTCTCTTTTTTTTACAGTTTGTGCCCTAATTACTAATAATGCCAAAAAAAAAACAATACTTAAATATACATAAAGTTTTGTAAATAAATGTAACACTAACATAAACTAAAAAAAATAACAAATTATGTATATTTTTAAGATAACACAAGAATGTAAAATACAAAAAAAATCAATTAAAAAAATGTATATATACTAATAATAATATAAGAAATTACACATATAAAAACTTAGATACATGAGCTGGTTTTGAAATAAATTAATTGACAAAATATAATTAATTAATTACAAAACATAATGCGAAATTCAAATAAAACACTCAAAATAATTTAAAACATTTAATTTTTATCCATACTAATACTTTTGTACTGGTTACTAATTACCATTAACGAGGCCTGATCAATAATCATTCTGTCCTTAAATGTTTGGATGACGTCGTCTCTTGTGTTCGTTGTAGTTTACAGGTGTGTTAACTCACCTGTGTGACGTGGCGCTGGTGGATTCTGGGATACGTTCAGCATCACCTCCGTCCTCCAGCTGTTTCTGTGTAAACAGCACCACCTGCTGGACAGACATCGACTTTCACAGGAAACCAGCAGATTTCACAGAAACAGAATTCAACTACCGACCTGCGATCATATGAACAGCACCACCTGCTGGAGAAACAACTGGAACACCACAGAAAGCTGGTTTTAATGGAGGCGGGGGTCTTTGGTCAGTGTCAACAAGTTCATAGCCAGGACCAACAAGTCCCAAGTCTGGACCAGCAAGTCTACAGTCATCAACAAGTTCACAGTCGAGGTGACCTTAACTT